ACTTAGTGATCTATAACAGAAACAAAGAACTGAATACCAGTATTCTCACTCATAAGTGAGACCTGAACACGATTATTATTTTACCATTTCTCTCTCACACATATCCGTTAGAATGTGTGCTTTTTGAAGTCAGAGTCCTCATACTGTATTGCTTATTGTAGCTCCAGCACTTTGTAAATAAAATAGCATATAATTGATTTAATAAATTAATCCTTTATTATGCTGATACCCTAATAGAAAGAAACCCTTAATGGTACAAAAATCCAGTGATATAAATGCACATATAATTTTGTGTGCTCAATTACTTAAAGATATAATTTCTCTTTTCTTCCTCCAATATGATATGCAAATGCAGAATATCTTATGACTGTAATTCATTGAGGAAATCAATGCTTATGAAAGAGCAACAATTATGAAAGATGCTTAGGCCAGGCATGGTGGCTCACGCCTATAATCCTGGCACTTTGGGAGGCCAAGGCAGGAGGATGGTTTCCAGTTTAAGACCAGCCTGGGCAACATAACAAGATCTCATCTCTACAAAAAAATCAAAACAGGGGGTAACCCTTTTGGGCCCCCTCCCATTGTGGGATCTTTTCTTTCCTCTCAATGAATCCTGCTTTTAAAAAAAATCAAGCCAGGCTCAGTGGCTCAGCCTGTAATCCCGCGCCTTTGGGAGGCTGAGGTGAATAGATTGCCTGAGCCCACGGGTTCGAGACCCGCCTGGGCAGCGAGACCTCATCTCTACAATAAATCAAAAAATCAGCCGGGCGTGGTAGCGCGTGCCTGTAATTCCGGCTACTCGGAAGGCTGAGGCGGAAGGATCGCCAGAGCCCAGCAGGTCGAGGCTGCGGTGGCCGGGAGCGGCCACTGCACTCCAGTCTGGGCGACGGAGTGAGACTCCAACTCAAAAAAAAAAAAAAAAAATCAAAATATTAGCCTTGTACCTGTGGCTTGTACCAGTAGTCCCAGCTACTCAGAAAGCTGAGGTGGGAGGATCACCTGAGCCCAGGAGGTCAAGGCTGTGGTGAGCTGTGATCATGCCACTGCACTCCAGTCTGGGCGACGGAGTGAGACTCAACTCAAAAAAAGAATATGAAAGAAAAAAAGAAAACAGAAAAAAACCCCAAAACAACGAAAAAGAATCTTTAATTGGATTGGTTTGCTAAGGTTGCCATAAGAAAAATTGCAGTCTGGGTGACATCCACAACAGAAATGTTCTGAAAAATGACCAAGTGTCATCAGGGCTGGTTCCTTCTGAGGCCTCTCCCCTTGGCTTGTAAATAGCTGTCTTCTCCCTGTGTCTTTACACGAACTGCTCTCTGCATGTGTCTGTGTCCTAATCTCCTCTTTTTATAAGGACACTATTTATACTGGATCAGGGTCCACTCTTGTTTTAACTTAATTACCTCTTTAAAACATCCGCTCCAAACACAATCACATTCTAGGGTATTATGGGGTAAGACATGAATTTCATGGGACACAATTCAACCCATAACAGGAGATAAGAAAGAGAAGGAAGAAGGTTAATATATAACAAGATGTTACATCAAGGTCATTTGGTTGTAGCCACTTCTCTCTTAACTATTTCCATGGTTCATTATTTCCCTCAAACCCCTCAATCCTTTTGTAATGAGGTTGCCTTTCCACTCCAACTATAATTTATCTATTCCTCCTTCTTGTTGCAGACATTCCAAATCACTTTCAGATTCCAAAATGTGCCACAATTCCTGTTTCCACGGGGTCTCTGTACATGTGTCCTCTCTACCTGGGATATTTTCCCTTTGCTTGAGGAATGGTAGTCATATAGGCTGAGTTACATTGCAGTAACAAATTAACCTTGATGGCTTTCATAATGTTTGTTGCATAAGCAAAACTCACTTCCAGTTTGGTGTCTGCTCACTTCCAAGTGGTGACTCAGGAATCCAGTCTGTTTCTATCTTCTTTCTGTCTCAGCATGTGGTTTTATTGCTGACATGGCAGGGGAACAGCATGAACTGAGGGATTCTGCAGGCTTTTCACTATCCTACATTATCGTGATACTCACCACTTCCTTTGACATTCTATTGGTCAGAATAAGTCACATGGCCCTTACCTCCTGTAGGGAGGCTCAGAAAAGCAGACTGTCTTTTTTAATGTTCAGCAAATATAATGTCTCAGCCACACCCACCTAACACCTGATTGCCACTGAGATATTTTCTTCACATTGGAGTCTTCTGTAAAACCCAGAAGAACACAAGTGGTGTCTTCCTGGTCCTTTACTGCAACTCTGCATATGAATGATATTTTTCTGTAATCCATCACACTTTTCTTTTCGGTTTTGTTTTGTTTTGTTTGTTTTTGTTTTTTTAAGTCTAGGCTTCATTCTGTCACCCGGGCTGGAGTACAGTGGCAGGACCACTGCTCACGCAACCTTGACTTCCTGGGCTCAGGCAATCCTTCTGCCTCAGTCCCCCGAGTAGCTGGGACTACTGGCTTGTACCACCATGCCCAGTCAATTATTTGATTTCTGGTAAAGATAGGGTCTTACTATGCTGCCCAGGCCGGTTTCGAACTCCTGGGCTCAAGCAATCCACCAGCTTCGGCCTCCCAAAATACTGGGGTTACTGGTGTGAGCTACCACGTCCAGGCTTATCACATCTTTCTAAGTTGTGACCTCTGTGGGGAAAGTAATTGAAATAGTTTGCCTAAATCACAGTATATGTTTTGGTGAAATACCATGTGTATTTTGTGAATATTCAGCAAGTGAATAAATAAATAGGATGTAGCATTTTAGAGCCTCATATATGACATCTTATAAGAGCAAAATATGTTCAAGGTGACTAAGTTATTTCCATCTTAAACAGAATAATATTTTCACAGCTCTTGAAAACATCAAATTTAAAAATTTTATCAGTTCGAGAACAGCCTGGGCAACTGGCGAAACCTCATCTCTACAATAAATAAAAAAATCAGCCGGGCGTGGTAGCACGTGTCTGTAATTCCGGCTACTTGGAAGGCTGAGGTGGAAGGACCACTGGAGTCCAGCGGATCAAGGCTGCGGTGGCTGGGAGCGGCCACTGCACTCTAGTCTGGGCGACAGAGTGAGACTCCAACTCAAAAAAAAAATTTTTTTTATCAGAGTAGTAACCAGTGATCTCTGAGCACTTAATAATGAATGAGCACTGATCAAATTGCTGTATAAATATTAACTCATACCATTATTGCAATACCCTGGGACAAGTCTTTTAAGGGGTCAGATTGTGAAAATTTTAGGCTTTGTAATTCAGTCTCTATTGCAACTACACAGCTCTGCCATTGTAGCATAAAAGTAGTCACAGGCAATGTGTAAATGAATAGATGTGGGTGTGTTTCAGTAGAAGTTTATCTACAAAAAGAGAGGGTGGACTAGATTTGACCTGAGGGCTGTGGTTTACCAATCTCTACCTATTTTCAAATAAGGCCCAGAAGGGTTAAAATCTGGCCCAGAATTACACAGGTAGTAAAATAAATAAATAAAATTGAATTTGAACCAATTGAACTCAGACTGTCTTCGGAGATTACACTTAGTCTTAACCATGAAATGATACTATTTATCAGGAAAAAACAAACAATGCTTTCATAACTTTCTAGCTGTGGGAACATTGTGTTCTAGGGTTAAAAAAGCTTTGGAGAACATCTATCTCCAAATCTTCCAGGATATTATGATGACTCAAAGAGGAAGTTTTAAAAGGGGAAGTCAGAAGAGATCTATTGTAAAACATAGTGACCACAGTTACATGACAATAATATATTGTATTCTTTAAAACAGCTGAAAGACTAGATTTTAAGTATTCTAGACAAAGAATAATAATAAAAAAGAATAAATATAAGAGGTGATCCAAATGTTAATTCCATCACTTGAGCAATTTCACAATATATACATCTTTTAAAACAACATGTTTGTTTGTTTGTTTTTGAGTTGGAGTCTCACTCTGTAACCCCGACTAGAGTGCAGTGGCTGCTCCCGGCCACTGCAGCCTCGACCCACTGGGCACAGGCGATCCCTCCGCCTCAGCCTTCCGAGTAGCCGGAATTACAGGCTTGCGTTGCCATGCCTGGTTGATTTTTTTTATTTATTGTAGAGATGGGGTCTCGCCAAGTTGCCCAGGTGGGTCTCAAACCCGCGGGCTCAGACAATCCACTCACCTCAGCCCCCAAAGCGTGGGATTACAGGCTGAGCCAACATGCTTAAAACAACATGTTGTACACAAAAATTATACAGTATGTATTTGTCACCTTAAAGAACAAATTCAAATAAATAAAAAGGGGAAGTCACTTCAACAAGGTCATATAGCAAGCAAGATGAAGAGCTAAGATTCAAGAGCAAACCATTGCAGCAAACCATTGTCCATCAAAAATTCAAGCCTTTCCACCACCCCCAACCCCAGAGTGGTAGATTTGTCACTGGGAAGTGGCTTCCTAGCCAGAGACTACATTTCCCCGAAGCCCTTGCAGTAGTTGTGACCATGTGACTGAGTTCTAGCCAATAGAATGTAGGGAAAAGTGATGTGAACAACTTCCTGGTGTGGCCCATATTGACACCCCCCCATGGGACTCTGCCATGTTATTTGCCCCCTCCCAGTTGGCTAAAATGGAAAGGATGACCTTGGAGGCTACACAGTGAAAACGACAGAGCCGCCATCAGCCTGAGGATGGAGAAGAGACACTGCAAATCTGTTTAGTGATCCTCTACTGAACATACGGCAAAAATGAACTTGTATTGTGCTAAGCCTCTGACATTTTGGAGTTGATCATTACAGCAACCTCTGTAACCCCATCTACTGCCAGCAGTCTGACAGTCAATCACTCTGCAATGGTCCCTCCAAAACTAAAGGTCTTGTTCAAAGTTATACAGGAGGAGAGCTGAAATGGCGATGTGTGCATTTCTCCCTACTGCTGATTAATACCCCTCTCCCCATCTTGTTGTAAGATAAGATGTCTAGATTGATCATGACAATGAGGCAATAGTTTGAGTTGCCTACCTGAGGCTCAGTTCTGTTGATGCCCGTGAGGAAGAGGAGGTGGGCCAGGAAGAGGCAGAGGGAGAGCTGTAGGTGGAGGGAGGTGCTGGTGTTCTGGATGGGCCGGCACAGGAGGAAGGTGAGAAATGCCAGGAACAGGCACAGCAGAGAGATGACCAGCCCCACGTAGGTGATGATGGTCAGCACAGGGTCCTCCTGCAAGTCACCCAAGGAGAACTCCATTATAACTTCCAACTGTGCCGCTATTTTCCATCAGAAGGGCATCCTAGTTCAGCCCCTGAAACAAACGACTTCACTTCTCTAAGACTTGGTGTTCCCTTCTTCACAATCGGGACAATAATGGCATCTACCACACAGGAATGTGCAAAAACAAATACAACTAGACCAGTGCTATCTAGTAGAAATTAGACAAGGAGCTCATGTGTAATTTAAATTTTCTAGTAGTCACGTTAACAAATGTAAAGAGAAACAGGTGAACTTAATTTAACAGTTCACCCAATAGGTTCAAGATATTATCATCTGAACGTATATTCAATATAAACGTAAATAATTTGCCACATTCTTTTTTTTTTCATATTAAGCCTTTGAGATCCAACCTGTATTTTATGCTTGGTACACATCTCAATTCAGACACTGTATTTTTGGTGGTGCAAGTGAAATGTAGGCCTACCAAACAGTAAAGTTGCATTTAACAGAAAAATGTTTTACACTGCTTCAGTTTTAAAATTTAAATCAATTAAAACAAAATAAGGTTAAGAATTTGGTTCTTCAGTTGTGCCAACCACTTTCAAGTGCTCAATGGTTGCATGTGTCTAGCGATTCCGTTGGAGAGCACAGCACTCAAAAGTTATCTCTATGAAGGCTGATTTTTTTTGAGTTGGTATGTCACTCTGTCTCCCAGGCTGGAGTGCAGTGGCACAATCATGGCTCACTGGAATCTCGACCTCCTGAGTTCAGGCACTCCTTCTGCCTCAGCCCTCCAAGCAGTGGCTATATGACCAAGTAGCTGGGACTACACTGTACACAGCACGATGCCTGCCCAATTTTTTTACTTTTTGTAGAGAAAAGGTCTTGCTATGTTGCCTGGGCTGGTTTTGAGCCCCTGAGCTCAAGCAATTCTTCCTCCTTGGTCTCCCAAGTGCTGGGATTCCAAGTGTGAGCCACCACACCCAGCATGAAATTTTCTTCACCTATCTTGCTCCCTGTTGTATTCTCAAGGCCTAGAAGACTGCCTGGCATATAATAGGCACTTGATAAGTAATACAAGGAGGTCATTCATCTGAAGCTTGTAGCACAATGGTTGTCATGCAGTAAATGTTCAATCAATGAGAGCTAAAAAGAAATTGGCAGAGATGGTCAATACATTTTTGTAAACCTAAGCTATCCCAAACGTGATTGAGACCTGGGAAGGGCAGAGGGTGATGCTGTGTCATTTGTGACAGCCAGTGTCCTTCTTTCTGGTCTGACCAGGGAGGTTCAGTTGTCATCTTCTCTTGCAGAGTAACAGATGGTTTAGATGCCAGACCCCTGTGGGATCTCTAGACCTCTACTTACCACTGTAGAGGCTGCCAATGTTCGAGGGCTTCCCTTGGTAGCTTGAATTCACTCTACCCAGACTCATAGATATGTCATAGAATTAACAGCCCTTGGACACAACCTTCATCAAAAACTAAAGGGAGTTGGTGTATAAATACCCCAGCTCCCTCCCCATGCAGTTAGAACAACTCTGAGATGTGAGTTCTACCTTGACTCTCCTGATCTCCCAGAGGGAATAAGATCCAGTTGCTCACAGTTGTAAATGACTGGATAGTACTCCTGCCTCTACTTCTGTTTTATTTCCGTTTCATTGCCCCAGTTCTGGAATCCCTTCTCCAGGAAGCCACTACCAGTTGACTCTTTATCCTAGGGTTCTTTTCAAAGAAATGCAGAGGATGATCTCATGGCTTCCTGGACACAGGCATGTTCCCAGGAGGGGGCCATGAGTCTCGGTACCTTGGGGGCAAGAGCCAAAAGAACAGCGAAGCTGGACAGGTGGAAGCACTTGCACTTGGTGTAAGAGTCGTTGCTGTACACGTGAGAGCAGCCCTCCGTGGACCAACTTCCCCCATCTTTGAATCCATCCCAGTAGACACAGATAGGTCTTGTTTTTTCACCACCAGGCTGAAAAGAGAACAGTGTGAAAGCAGGTTCTTTCCTGGTTTTGTTTCTTAACTATGTGGGTTCATTGGGTTAGAAACCGGATTGGGTGAGGCATTGGGTTAGAAACTGGATTGAAAAAACACATTTAGGGGAGAGCCTCCCATCACCACATGTAAATGTAAAGAGAAACAGATGATCTTAATTTAACAGTTCACCCAATAGGTTCTAAATATTATCATCTGAATGTTTGATGATATTCAGATATCAAATATCTGATATGGGGTTTATTCTGCCCTTCTCTGGCTAATCTCAGCACCCAGAGATTGACCTTACGAGTTGCCTCATGAGAATCCTAGTCATTGATAGAACCAATGAAGGACACTGGTGAGAGATAATTGGGTAACAGAAGAGAGAGAAGTCAGTTGTTTATTCCAGATGCCCTTTTTACTCCAGGCTGTCTCCTTTTCCTGAAGGACAATCCCTTTTCCCTGTCTCCAACTCCCACTAAACTCAGCAATGTCATCCTACTTTGACTTTTGGGCTTCAGTGTGAGACTAGCTTCCACTGAGGTGACCTCTGGGTACCTGGACATGCTTTTTTTTGTCCCAAGCTTTACTGAGGTGTGATTGACAAATCAATAATTGTGGATGACACGCTGGTTTGATAGATGTCTACATTATAAAATGATTAGCACTGTTTTACCTAACACACACATCCATCACCTCACATAGTCACTGTTTGTTCATTTTGTGATGAGGACACTTGCAATCCACTCTCTCAGCAAGTCTCAAGTATACAGCACTTTATTATTATCAACTACAGTCACCATGTGGTACATTAGGTCCCAGGTACTTATTCATCTGGCAATTTAAACTTTGTACCCTTTGACCACCATTGACCCATTTTCCCTGCGACTCAGCTCCTGGTAACCATCATTCTACTCCTTGTTATTTTGAATTTGACTTTTTTTAAAGACTCAAGATATAAATGAAATTAAGCAATATTTTTTTCTAGTTTGGCTAATTATACATAAGAAAGCAGTCCTCCGGGATCATTCCTGTTGTCACAGGTGGCAAGATTTCTTACTTTTTAAAGGTGAAATAATAGTTTATATATATATATTTATATATATATATGTATATGTATATATAATTTCTTTTTTTTTGAGTCAGGGTCTCACTCTGTCATCCAACTGAAAGGCAGTAGCACACTCACAGCTCACTGCAGCCTCAATCTCCCGAGCTCAGGCAATTTCTCCACCTCTGCCTCTCAAGACGTCAGGACGACAGGAGCTTACCACCACACCTAGCTAATTTTTTTTTTCGTAGAGTTGAGGTCTTGCTATGTTGCCCAGTCTGGCCTCAAACTCCTGGGCTCAAACAGTCCTCCCACCTTGGTCTCCCAAAGGGCTGGGATTACAGGCATGAGCCACCACGCCCAGCCTATATGACATTTCTTTACCCATTCATCTGTTGACAGGCACTTAGATTGTTTTCCATATCTTGGCTATTGTGAATAATGCTGCCATCAATCTGAGAGTATAGTTATCTCTCTGAGATTCTCATTTCTATCCCTTTGAATATGTACTCAGACCTGGGATCGCTGAATCATAGGATGTTCTGTTAATAAGTTTTCGAGAAACATCCATACTGCCATATTGCTTTTCATAATGGCTGTTACCTGTTTACATTTCCATCAGCAGCTCTATAAGGCTTTGCTTTTCCACTTGTCCTCATCAGTACTTATCTTTTGGCTTTTTGGTGATAGCTGTCCTAACTACTGAAGGCGCCTCGACATTTCTTGTCATTTCTCTTACCTCTGAATGATCAGACTTGTATTCTGCCCCTACTGGCAAATTGATAATACACCCTCACCCTTTAGGACACGACAGAGATGACTTGCCACCTGTATTATTATTGGGTTTTGCTCACCTGAGTATGTTGAAAAGTCAGAACCACAGGTTTAGACAGTGCAACTTTTTCCTTCAAGCCAATGGTGCCACTCACAACATGGGAGTTCAGTTTTACTTCCCGCTTCCCTCTTGTGTTACTAAAAAAGGATCCATTCAGAACATACCCTAGCGATCCATAAGTGATGAGGGCAACTATATTTCTATCTGAAAAAAAATAGAAGAGGAAGACTGTTAGGGGGTGCCCATAGTTTGGGGGGACAGTACACATGTTTTATGTGAGGGTCAAAAGGCAAACACCGATAGTTAAAACTGCCCTTTGAAATCCCTTTATTTGATGTTTAATATACTATGTGTGGTTTGGAGGCAGGATTTTTGTCTACGTAATTCATATGATAATGCACCACACTTTATAAGAGCAAATATGCTCATATCCTGTGCAAGATGCGCTCATCAGCAGGTTGTAAAAATGCATATGAGATTTCTGGCATCACAGTCAGAGTCGTAAGACAAGATGCTTGCCTTCCAAAGGGCAGGTGGAGCTCAGGTGGGCTGTGGAAGCCACACGCGCCCATCTTCCATCTCAAGCTCACCCTGAGATCTAACATGGTAGAAAGGTATGCAGGATGATCCATTCTATTTAATACTCTCTCTTCCTCCCTCCCTCCCTCTCTCCTCTCTTTCTTTCTTCCTCCTTTTCTCTCCCCTCCTTTCTCTCTCTCCCCCTTCCTCACTCTCGTTCTTTCACACGTTCCCCCTCCCTTCCCTTTTCATGAAAGGATAATTTAATCCGCAAAAGTCTAATGCATACAGGTTGCTCCATGGCACAATGAAGTGTTTCCCAAACTGCACTTATACATGTGCCTCCATGTCATTTCGGTCAAAGTCACTTGCCACCTGTATTATTATTTACTCCTTTAAAAAAAATCAACCCATTTTGGATACTTTCCCTCCCATTTCCCACCCTACAGCTCATAGTAAGGAGTGAAGATAACTCACTCTCCAGGAAATGTCTGCAGGAAATGCAGCAAGCATTTCCTTCTCGTGAAGACCCAGTCTTTCTCTCTGAAATAGTTTATATGAATTCATTCATTTTATTTGTTCTTTCATTAAATATTTCTTGAGCACCTACTGTATGCATAGACACGCTTTTCATGACAGCATATAGCAGTGAACAAAACAGAGTCCCTGTCCTCAGAGAACTGGCATTGCAGTAGGAGAAATGGGCAATAAATGGATAAATAAATGAGAAATAATGACATCATGCCAGTGCTTTGCAGAGACTTAAGTTGATGGGTGGTAACCTATGGCATGAGGATTACATCCAGCCTGCCACCTGCTTTTTAAATCAAATTTTATGGGCACACACCCACACTCCATCATTGACATATCATCCATGGTTGCCTTCATGATACAATGGCAGAATTGAATAGTTATGCCCAAGATCATCTGGCCTCAAAAGCCTAAAACATTTACTCTCTGATCCTTTTCACAGAACAAGTTTGCTCACTTGCAAGACAAACTGGGTGTTAATGAAACACTTCTCAAGGGAAGAAATGTTTGAGGCAGCCTGGCACCATTGAATGTTGCCTTGTCAGACTGTCACATGGAAACGGAGCATGTGTCAGCCTGTCCCTTTGAAGGAAGCACGTCAAGGAATTCCTGTTGGAACCTCAGTGGGTATCACAAAGTTGTCATTCCTCATGAGAATCCAATTTCATCTCCCTAGATGCCTGGTCAATGACCAAGGAAGGTCTCTACATTCCACCATGTATAATCTACCTACCTTGAAAATTTTGTGAGTTCCCACCACATGGCTCAATCACCTAGAAATGAGACTATGGTGTGTAGAATTTGGAGTCAAGAGAATTCATCACAGACACAGTACCTGTTGTGCTTCCTTTGAAAGCATCAGCACAGTCGATATCCATGGTGTTATTTCCAGCTTCCAGAAAAGTCTTCTCTTTTGTCTTATTGCACATCTTGCTTTCATAGACTGAAAACATTAAGAAATTGAGTCCTGCCATACTCACTTCTCATGCCTAAGAAACACGATGAAGAATTCCTTCCCTTCTTTGGAAGACCAGAATCCAGATCTCACTATGATGGTCATAAGCACTCTACACTGCATCACTTACCTATATCAAAAGTAGAATCTTCACCCTTTCCTGGAGAGGTGAAAGTTTGATTCCAGACTTTCAATTCCACATTCTGGAGTAATTGAGTAGCCACTCTAGCAAATTCCTCTTTGCTTCTATTTCTTCTTTGATTTTCCTTTCAAAGAAATAAAGGTAATTAGGTGAACTCTCATGGAGGGATAAGAAAGCAGGAATATGCACAAGTGTAGTGTGGTGAGCCTGGAAGGCAGCAATACTCATTAAGGTGTTCCTAGGTAAACGTGGGAATGAGGTTCTGGATTCTTGGTTCTGGTCTTTGAATGACAGCTGAGACACCATCACCCTACTTCAGATTTTCTTGATCTTTGTTGACATCCGAGACCAGATCGTTCTTGGTTGTGGGAGACTGCCCTGGGTATTGTAGGATGTTGGACAGTATCCCTGGTCTCTATATATGAGATGCCAGTAGTGTGCCTCTCCTGCCCAATTGTGACAACTAGAAGCATCCCAAGATATTGCCAGAAGTCTCCTGGAACAGAGGACAAAATCACCCCTGGATAGAATAACTCCATCCTAGATTATAAGATATATGTCAAATCATAGGGACCCATGGTAGCGTTTGAGTAGGAGAGTGCCAGCTGTTTCTCAAACCCAGGCTTCACTCTACTCACCCAGATGTTCACTTTTGCTGGTGAGCCTTCATCATCAATTCCATCACCTGCGGAAGAAAAGTAGCCATTAAATGAGATATGGGTGAAAACACACCCCGCCTCACACCCCTTTGTCAATCACCCTCAAGTTATATCTTTCTCTAAGACTTTTGTAGCCCATCCTAATTCCTCTCTAAGAAGTCCAAAGTGAAGTCTGCAGTAGAATTTTAAAAAGGAATTAAGCTAGGGCTTCCAGTTCAACGCATCAGTCAACAGCATTTGTTGAGTACCTACTCAAGACCAGGCATAATGGTAAATCATATGAATACAGGTTAGTAAAAGAGACAAAGTGTATTCCCTGTGGAGTTTGCAGCCTGGCAGGAAAGCAAACAAGAGAATCATTGCAAATAATTAAGTGATCACAAGTGATGCTCTTAATAGATATAATATGATGACGTGGGAGTAGAGAGGGGAGAACCCCAACACATCAAGGTTGCATGAAAGCCTTTCTGAAGAAATCAGCATTTGATGAGTTAAGATTGTAGAAGCATTTGTCTACACGTTATGAAAGTGCCTTCATATACACTGTCTCATGTAAGGAAGTGCAGAATGTTCCAAAACAGACTCATGTGGCATAACACTAATATCTCTTGAGCCTTACTGGATGCCTAGAGTGCAAATTATTTCACATGCATTAATATTCAAAAAGGGTAGGTAAGATGTATTTGTTTGCCAGGGCTGCCATAACTTAGTGCCATAAAGTGAGCGGCTTAAAGTAGTAGAAACGTATTGTCTCACAGTTCTGGAGGGAAGAAGACCAAATCAAGGTGCCAGCAGGGCCAGGCTCCCTCTGAGGGTTCTAGAGGAAAATCTTGTCTTGCTTCTTTTAGTTTCTGGAGTTGGCCAGCAATCTTTGGCAATCCTTAGCTTGCGGCAGCTTAACTCCAATCTCTGCCTCTGTCTTCACATGGCCATCTTCCCTCTGCATGTGTGTCTGTGTCTCTGTGCCCAAATTTCTCTCTTTTTTCTTTTCTTTTCTTTTCTTTTTTTTTAGTTGGAGTCTCACTCTCGCCCAGGCTGGAGTGCAGTGGCACACTCATGGCCACCCAACTTCAACCTGCTGAGCTCCGGCGATCCTTCCGCCTCAGCCTTCCAAGTAGCTGGAACTACAGGTGCACACTACCATGCCTGGCTGATTTTTAAAAAAATTGTTGTGGATACGAGGTCTCACCAAGTTCCCGGGCTGATCTCAACCCCTCTCTCTTCTTATAAGGACACTAATCCTATGGGATTTAGGGCCCACCCTAATTTAGTATGACTTCATCTTGATCACGTTGGCAAAGACCCTGTTTCCAAATGCAATTACATTCACAGGTTTCAGGTGGACATGAATTTGGGGGTCATCATCCAACCCAGTAAGCAGGATTTGGAAATGGCCCCCAGTGATCCCTATCTCTTGGTCTTCATGCCTTTGTGTAATCTCTTCTCCTTGACTATGAGCTGGACCGCAGAGGCTCATTTCTCTATTTTTTTCTTTCCTTTGTTTTAATCATTCCTCAACAGTCAGAGTGAACAGAGACTCATTTCTAATCAACAGAATACAAACAAAGTGACAAGATATCACATCTGAGATTAGGCTATAAAAGACCATGACTTCTAGCTTATTCACACTCTCTTTCCAGCTATCCTTATGTGCTGGCTCTAATAAAGCAAGTTATAGGGGTCCACATTTCTAGGAACTGAGGGATGACTCCAGCCAAATGCTAGACATAAACCGAGGGCTTCATCCAACACTCTGAAGGGACTGAATTCTGCCTGCAACCATACGCATGAGCTTGAAAGCAGATCCTGCCAGTCGAGTCTCCAGATGAAATCACAGCCTGGACAATACCTCGATTGCAGATGTCATAGGCTCTAAATCAAAAGGAGCTAGCTAAGCCACATTGAATGTTTGACCTACAGAAATCATGAAGCAATAAATATGTGTTGCTTTAAGCCATGACACTTTGGGGTAATGTGTTATGCAGTAACACATAACTAACACTGTAGATACCATTATTATTCTCATTTACAAATGAGACATAAAAGGAAAGTCATTAGCCAAAAGTCAGCTAGTAAGTGGGAGAGACAGCTCTTAAATTCAACTCACCTAACTCAAAGCGTGGGATGATAATATTATTAAACTAATAAATAAATACATTGTGAGGCTGAGGTGAGTGGATTGCCTGAGCCTGCGGGTTCGACACCCGCCTGGGCAGCGAGACCTCATCTCTACAATAAATCAAAAAATCAGCCGGATGTGGTAGCGCATGCCTGTAATTCTGGCTACTCGGAAGGCTGAGGTGGAAGGATCGCTGGAGCCCAGCAGGTCGAGGCTGCGGTGGCCGGGAGTGGCCACTGCACTCCAGTCTGGGCGACGGAGTGAGACTCCAATTCAAAAATAAATAAATAAATAAATAAATTGTGGATAGGGACAGCCAGGTTTCTCATTGTTGGAGAGAAGAGTTACAAATAAGGAAAGCGGGAAGGCTTGATGTTGAACTGGAATCAGAGGTATCTGTGTAAACTCATGGGCTTTAGTATATGGGCAGACAGATATTTCAAAAAAGTAAATTAGTAGAGGAATTCAGAAGAAATATAGAGGTGTCATTTTGGAAATCTTTACCCTTGGTCTTGTGTCTTCAATAAGAGAGACCCTTATTGGAGACATACATCCAGAAGGCATCTACAGGAATGCCAAAAAAAGGTGTACACGTTTTAAGTATAACATTCGCTCAAAAGATGGTGTTAATCAAATGAATGCTAGCATCACCACGCAACAGGCAGGACAGTCAAAGAAAATAGCAGAAGCATGGTTGGGTGAACATCATATTACACATTGCTACCGTAACTTAATTCAACTTCAAAAAGTAATACATAGATAACATCTCCTAAAATGTGTGTAAGTTTTTTTGACAGCCCCTGTATATAGAGATGGTGACAGATGCCATGGGGCTTGGATGACCTTGGAGAGACCATCAAGGATAACAAAAGGGTGAGGACTAAAGATTAAGACAGAGCTTTTTTCTCTTATCCTGGCCTGAAATTGGTAGAGCACTCAGAGTCTCCTTCCAAATTCCCACTTCTTTTAATAATGGGAATAGTATTTGGAGGTTCTTACCATAACAGTCTTGATGATTAAACCAAGAAAATATATCCCACCAACTTGGCGCACAGTTGCAGTTGTAACCTCCAATTTTATTGCTACAATATGCTCTGGGCTGGCACTTGGCCAGCCCAATCACACATTCATCAATATCTGTGAATCAAGAGAAAATATGTTTTTCATTTTCATAGAACTATGCCATTTCCCTTGCCCATGGAAACTCCATTGCCCAACATTGTTCATAAATGTTTTCTCTAAGTTTATTTACAAATCCAGTGTAATCCCAATTTTAAAAAAATCTACACATATTTTATGGAGTGAGATGAGCTAATGCTGTCATACATGTATTGCCAGAAAAAAACTGCAAAGTGGGAACCAATAAACTGGGACATTAAAACATGCCATAAAGCATTATTCACACATACCATAAAGCATTATTCACATAACAGTGAGGCACTGGCGCATGAATAAATAAAAATAGATCAGTGTAACAGATTAAAAAGTCCAGAAATGGATTCTAAAACATATGGAGCTTTAGAATATGGTAAAGGTGATATGACTAATCACTGGAGTAAGAATGAAAAGCTGTTGTTGTTTTTTTATGGTGAGTCACACTCTGTTAAATTAACTTAAAACACACAGTGAATAGCAAGGGAATAAATGCAGCTAAGTTAACACATTGTAAGGAAAGATTTCAAGACAGGTGGAAGAATCACACTACTTAAATCCAGGCTTATGCAATATTTGCGTGTCCTGTGTCTCAGCCATCTCAGCCTTCCCTCATGATGGACTAGAGTGGAGGTCCCAGACAGGAGACCCATAGGCAGAAGGTGCCCTGGTCCAAGCACTCACACCTGTCCTCTCCATCTGAAGGATTAAGGGACAAGTACACCTGGCCAATAACTGTACCCTGTCAATTAGTCTGATGCAGAGATATGAGTTTTTGGGGGCCATGAGTTTATGTGTTTTGGGTAGAGGATATATGGACCAGAACAGTAATCACTAATGAGGGATTGAATTAAAACATCATAAACATCCTTACCTTCACATTTTTCATGGGGATCATAAAAGTATTTCCTCCCAGAACTGGAATGGAATCCATCTTCACAAACACAGTGGGTGCTGTTGTAGCAGAAGGCATGCTTAGGGCATGGAGTACAGGAGACTGCAGGAAACACAGAACCCATTCATTCACTTGCTCATTCACTTATTCAAGAAGTATTTATTGAGCATCTACAATGTACCCGATGCTGTGGTCATAATAACGCTTTCTTGGGAAGAAAACATTTTCTGTTGGCATCCTTTTTACACACAGCCCACTGCTGAGCACAGTGCTCACAGTGCCACCAACACTACTCTTGTCTGGTAGACCTGCAAACACCAGCATCTGTGTTTCTTTGCTTGAGGGCTCCCTATGGCTACCAGAGTCTACCTTGTTCAGCATACAGAAGATTAGCAATGTCTTTCCTCCAAGGAGCAGCTCCCTAAGTCAGTGACTGACAGGAGGCTGTCTGTTAAAACCACAGCTTCGCGATTATTTTAAAAAGCAGGAAATGTCAAGTGCTGGTGAGAATGTGGTAAAAAGCAGAATTCTTGTGCACCACTGATGGGAATGTAAGATGATGTAGCCTCTATGGAAAACATTATGGCAGTTCCTCAAAATAAAAAATAAAAAGTTAGAATTACCAGATGATCCAGCAATCCCACTTTTGGGTATATCCTCCGGTGAATTGAAAGCAGGTATGGAAGAGAAACCTGCACACTCATGTTCGTTGCAACATTATTCATAATAGTCAAAATTATGTAACTCATCTGCTCATCTATGAATGAACGGATTAACAAAATGTGACCCATCTATCCATCCATACAATGGAATATTATCCAGCTTTTCAAAAGAAGGAAGTTCGGACACATGCAACAATGTAAATGAATCTTGAGGACATTATCCTCAGTGAAATAAGCCAGTCCCAAAAGGACAAACACTGTATGATTCCACTTAAGGAAAGTCTTTGAAGTCATCTGAGTCATAGACAAAAAGTGGAATGGTGGGTGCCCAGTGCTAGAGAGGGGAGTGAGTGTTTCATGGAGACAGAGTTGCAGTTTGGGAAGAGGAGAGAAAGTTCTGGAGATGGAGTGGTGATGGTTACCCAACCATGTAAATGTGTTTAACGCCATTGACCTATAGCCTTGGCAATGGTTAAGAAGGTACACTTTGTGTTATGTATATTTTACCACAATTAAAAAAAAATTTAATAAAACAGCTTCCTTGCTTTTTGGGGGACTGATCTGAGGTGTCTGCTCCATACCATGTCCAACAGTTCCCCAAGGGCTCAAACTCCAGCTGCCTTCATGTATACTGCTTAATAATGAATCCCTGCCCACTCCCAGCTGGTGGTTCCTGGGTTCACCTACCAGATAAACGATTTGTTCTCAGTGTCTTCTTTTGTGGGGAGCCCAAACCAAGACTGAGGGTAAAGGCAAGTATTTCCCAAAATGACTTAGGACACAGGCTTTGGGGAAGAAAGAGAAGAGTCTAGCATCCACCAGCTGTATGACCTTAAGTCGGCCACTTCCCTAGAGGACCATTGGTCAAGTGGAGATGATTTGCATACCCTCTTTGTAGGACTGTCATGAAGATTGAGTACAATGGCATGTGCAATTTGCTTAGCTAAGTACATGGAGATGATAATGGTGATGATGGAGAAGGAGAACAACCCTTAGGAGAGCCAAGGAGCAGGAAGAAAGCACCGAGGACTCCATGCTTTGTCTCTTGAAAAGGGCTCCTTCTCCCTGCAATCCCCCTATTGGGAATATATCCTGAAGAACTCAAATCACTCTATCAAAAAGATACCTGCACACGTATGT